TCTTTGGCTATGTGTATTTTCACCAAACAAAAAAAGAGGTTGAGAAGTTAGAGGGTTGATATTTTGTGGGGTTGTTAACCAATGTTATAAAACAACATGTGTACTTCTGTTTCATGAGAAACTATTTGTTCTGTAAGCCTTCTCCTGAAGTACAATAAAAAAATAAATAGATAAATAAAAAAAGATGCATTGATAATTACTGTCCATTGGAATGCAGAAGTTGTAAACAAAGAAGGATTGGTAGTTGGTAGATGTCATTATTATCCCTATTTTACAGAGAAGGAACTCAAAGCTTAGAGAGTTAAAGCAATTTACCCAAGGTCACACAGTTGGTTAACCTCTGGGATTTGCACCTAGATACCTCTGATTCCAAAGTCTAAACTCTTAACCACTCTGCCCATAGTAGGCACTCTGGAAATACTGTTTGTATTATCTTTTAGTATTGTCTAAATTGTACCTCTAAAAACTCTTACCTTGACACCAGAAAATGATAATAATCATTTAAAAACTTAAAAATCCAAACCAGTAAAATACTAACTGTACAATAGACCTCGATTGTATACAGGACATTCTGTACTGAGGCAGATATATTCTCAGTCTTATTTTTATTACCATTTCTGATCTTCTGTCATTGGGTGTACAAAGGGACCCTCCTACACATACCTCATGCAATTGAACCTGGGGAGGCTGTCATAGGGCTGACAATATGAATGCTGGCCAGCATACTCTGAGCTGTTATGAAAAGATAGCTACTAGGTCAGATAGTGCCTTTTTCCCAGGAATTTAAATTGGAAAAGAATTAACTGGAATTTAAATTGGAGCAGAATTAATACTATAGACAGAAACTAAGGGATATCATGAAATAAGTCAAGATAAAGCCATGAGCAAGCTGAAGTTATGAAAGAACAAATACTATCAGCAAACAGAGAAAGACATCTGGTGGCACAAAATAAAAGCAGAACTGATGAGAAAAGCCATCAGAGAGAAAAAGAGCATATGCGTAACTTTTCAGTGTGGGTTCCATTTTAGTTCCCCTGATGTCTTTAATAAACTTCCCTTTCCTTGAGTAACTTGAGTTGTTCTTGTCCTTAGTATCTGGATATTAGGATGTGTTTAACTGCAAATAACTGGGAACTAAATTAACAGTTGCTTAAATAATAAAAGTATTTATTGTTTACAAAATATGGAGAGTAGGCAGTTTTTGTGTTCAGCCAGTAGCTCAATGGTATCAGCAAGAAGCCTCTTTGTCTATCCTTCTGCTTGCCATGTACAACGCATTTGTTCTGGCCCCCATGCTTGTTGCCTCATTGTCACAAAGTGGTTGTGGCAATTCCAGACATTACAACTAAATGCAAAGGCCAGAAGCAAGGGGCAAATGATTTCTTCCTTGTATAGCTCTTTTAATCCCCCTTCTGGTTAAAAACAAACAAAAAAACTTTTCTAGAAATCTTCCAGTTCTGTAAGTTTCACAGGCTAGAGCTGAAATCACATGGCCACGTATAACTATAAGGAAGACCAGGAAAGTAGCTGGCAAAAGGGAACAAGATAGCCATGACTGGCTTAGGTTAGGGGTCATCAAACTATAGCCTGAGGGCTAAATCTGCATGCTAAGAATGGTTTTTACTTTTTTAACTCATTGAAAAAGAAAATAAAAGGAAGAGTATTTCATGACATGTGAACATTTTATGAAATTCCAATTTCAGGGCCACAAATAAAGTTTTATTGGAACAAAGCTGTGCTCATTTTGTATGTATTGTCTATGGCAGCTTTCATGCTACAGTGGTAGAGTTGGGTAGTTGCCACAGAGACCATATGTGGTACTCTCTTTGCTTTATACTGCTGCTCAGCAAACTACAAAACACAATGACGTAGTTTTAACTCAGCGCTGTTTCAAGTGTCATGAGTATTGCTGTACTCTGACTTCTTTTTTTAATACTAGTACATCATCAAAAGAAGACATCTTCAAAACAAGAAAAGTGAACTATGTATGTCATACTTTTAAGTGGAGTATAGTTTGTTACTGAATTAGATGGCAATGCATGTGTTTATTATGCAATGACACTATGTTAGGTGCCATCAAGTTGGCTCCGACTTGTAGCAACCCTACATATAACAGGAGAAAAAGTTGCCCAGTTCTATGCCATCCTCACAATAGTAGGTATATTGGAATCCATCGTTAGAGCCACTGTGTTAATCCACCTCCTTGAAGGTCCTCCCCTTTTTCATTGACCCTCCACCTTACCAAGCATGATGTCCTTCTCCAGGGATTTGTCTCTCCTGATAACATGTCCAAAGTATGTGAAACAAAGTCTCACCATCCTCACTTCTAAGGAGCATTCTGATACTATACATGTGCTAAAGGATTATAATATACATTAACATTACCAGATTCATCATAATATTCTCAGCTCACAATTAAGCAATGGCCAAAAAAAATTCAGAAATTTAAAGTGGAATATGTCATCACAACAGAATTTCTTCACAAAAATAAAAAATAAAAAAGACTGCAACCAAAGGAAGTTTCTGAATAGCTCATTTGTTAGCCAAGCAAGGATAGCTGTTTACAGGTGGTGAGTTAATTAAATCATGTTTAATTACAGCAGAAGAAATGTTCCCAGAAAGAATAAACTTGTTTGAGACTATTAGTCTTTCAGTGAGAACAGCTGCTTGAAGAGTTGAGGACACTGGGAACAACATCAGTAGTCAATTAAAACACAAAATAAATGATTTTGAGTGGTTTTTGTTGACTTCATGAGTTGACAGATGTTAGAAATACTGTTCTTTTCTTGTTTATTTGAGGAGTCAATACTGAGTTTGAAGTGACTGAATAATCAGCCTATATGAATTGTCTGCATGGAACAACTACAGGTGAGCATAGTTTTAAAGAAGTTAAGAAAACACTAATTCAGTACAATCTGAAGTGGAATCTGCTAAGATGTGTTATAAGTGATGGTGATAAAAATATGTGTGGAGCAGAAAAGACTTGGACAAATTTACGAACTTTGTTAAAATGTAAGGTGTTCAAACCTATTTTTATTCATTGTGCCGTTCATCAGCAGGTAATTTGTGAAAAACATTTGAATCTATCATGTGTTTTTGAACTAGTAGTGGCAATGGAGGAGCCCTGGTGGCATAGTGGTTAAAGAGCTCAGCTGCTAACCAAAAGGTTGGCGGTTCAAACCCACCAGACACTCAGCAGGAAAAAGATGTGGCAATCTGCTTCCATAAAGATTTACAGCCTTGGAAACCCTATGGGCCAGTTCTACTCTGTCCTATAGGGTTGTTATGAGTTGGAATCCACTTGGCAGCAGTTGGCAGGGGTGCGGGGGAGGAGGGTGTCAGTGGTAATCTTCATTCAGTCTGGTGAACTTAACCATCATCAGTTCTCTGAACTTTTGTCAAAAATAGAAGTTGAATATCCTGAGTTGTCCACACAGCCATTCAATGACTTAGCAGTGGAAAGATTTTATTGCAATTCTTTGAACACAGAGCTGAGACTAAAATTTTTCTGAATGAGAAGAACAGTGAATGGCTTTGGAAATCAGCTTTTGCTGCATGCTTCATAATGTTTCTCAACCTAAAATCACAAGGCAAAACTTATACTATAGTAAAGTCATTTTAAAAACAATGTTGTTTGAATCACAAGTATCATCAAGCTGCTTTATACACTTCCTGTGCTGTCAAAGTTAAAATAAGCAAGCACACCATTTCATACAAATTTGCAGAGGATATATTTTCCTAGCTTAAACTACAGTTCCAACAGCATTTTTCAGATCTCAATGCAAGTGCAAAGGAAATTTTCATATTTCAAAATCCATTTAACTGTGTAATTGAGGAGCCTCTACCTAACCTTCAAATGGACGTGTTTACTCTGCAATGTAATGACATGGTTAAAGGCAAATATCAGTAGGAGAATCAAATAGAATTCTATGAATTCCTACCAAGTGATTCTCAATTAAAATCATATGCTACTAGGTTGATATTAGAATTTGACAGTGTCTATCTGTGTGAAAAGACATTTTCAAAGATGAAACACATAAGATCTCATTGTAGATCAGCATTAACAGATGAATATTTGGAATCAATTTTGACGATAGGAAACAAAAACTTTGAACACCTGTTAAGCAAACTGTTATCCCTTAATAAAGAATTCCATCCTTCTCATCAGTAGATCTGCATTATGAAAAAGAAATTGTACTCAATTATTATTGTATTTTGAATTATGTATGTCAGTAAAAATTTGTGGAAATTTATTTCTTCTCTTATTGTATAAGTACTTATATAATATCATTAGTTTTGCTTCTTGATTCACAAACCTTAAAATATTGACTGTCTAGCCCACTATTCAGTGATTAAGCATTTGGCTGTTAACCAAAAGGTCAGCAGTTCAAATCCACCAGCTGCTCCTTGGAAACCCTATGGGGCAGTTCTACTCTGTTCCATAGGGTCACTATCAGTCGACTCGACGGTAGCAGGGTTTTTTTTTTTTTTTTTTTTTGGTTTAGCCCACTACAGAAAGCATGTGCTGACCCCTGGTTTAGATCAGTTGTGTTCCGTTACCTGGGCGTAGGGACATACTGAGTTAAGTAAAAACGGTGATTCTTTAAACATGAGACTCCTACAGAAATAATGTATCTTGGTATTAGCAAGAATCTGATAGTGTCTCATGGTTAAGAAAAGTGATCGGTTACAGTTAATAGAGACACACGACCGTATCATTGCTATTGCCCCGGCCCCCAGTGGACACTGAGCGAAGCAAATCACCATCTGGGAATGAGGCCATCCTAGACAAGTCAAGCTGTCAGCTGGCCCAGGAGAGAATAGCTAGTCCGGCCTAGGCCATAACTGCCTAGCGAATCCACAGGATCCTGAGAAAGAATAAATATTTATGGTTTTAAGCCACTAAGTTCTGGGGTGATTTGTCGCCCAGAGAAAGCTAAGTGTTACAGTTTATCAAGGTAAATGTGCCAAATATCTTCTTTCTGTCCCTGCTATGTGCCATCGGAGGCTCACTGAATATGAACTGCATCATTGGCATCCCTTGTGTCAGAAGATAAGAAAGAGGAGAATATCAAGGTATTTAATTCCCTTGGCTCCCTTCTTGTTGGGTCACTGTGGGCTAGCTGTGTTCCTTTACCAAACGTCTAAATTCCTGTCTGGTAGCCCTGTGTACACAGTCTTCTCCATATTTGGTAAATAGTCCCTCCTCTTTCCCTTAAGATTCAGAGGTAGTTTTGGGCCCCCAGTACTACTGAATCTCCCTTGTGATCTTTCTTTTTTGTGTGTGCTTAAAGTGAAAGTTTACAGTTCAAGTCAGTTAAGTCAGTTTCTCATACAAAAATTTATATACACATTGCTATGTGACCCTAGCTGTACTCCCTATAATGTGACAACACACTCCTCCTTTCCGCCCCGGATTTCCCATGTCCATTCAACCAGCTCCTGTCCCTCTTTGCCTTCTTATCTCACTTCCGGACAGGAGCTGCCCATTTAGGCTCATATATCTACTTGAGCTAAGAAACACTGTCTTCATGAGTGTCATTTTATGTTCCAGAGTCCAGTCTCATCTTTGTCTGAAGAGTTCGCTTTGGGAATGGTTTCAGTTCTAGGCTAATGGAAAGTCCAGGGGCTGTGTCTTCCAGGGTCCCTCCAGTCTCAGTCAGACCATTAAGTCTGGTCTTTTTACTAGGATTTGAGTTCTGCACCCCACTTTTCTCCTGTTCCATCAGAGATTCTCTGTTGTGTTCCTTGTCAGTGTGGATTTGTAATCTCTTTACTCCCTGCCCACACCTTTGTCTATAGTCCTTTATTAAATGCTTCTCCGATTTTCCTAGTTTGAGTGTGCAAGCTCTTTCTTTGACTGATAGAGTAAGCCTCGTTAAGAAGGTAGCACCACAGCAAAGACTTGAATGATCTGATGGGATGAGTCATGAAGATATCTGGGGGAAGTGCCAAGATCCTGAATCAGCAAGGAGACAAAGGTGATTGGAGTGGAGTCTGCTGGGGAGGAGTATAGAAGACAAGGTCACAGAGGTAACAGGTTGTGTGTATTGGGACAGGGGTGCATGCTGCAGGGGAGGCAAATCATGTAAGGGTCTTGCAGGCCTTTGTAAGGACTTTGGCTTTTACTCTGAAAGAAATGGGAGCCACTGAATCCTTATACTCACATCTAATGAAATCTAACTTTACTTTCTGTTATTTGCTGACAGCAGACCTCTGTGACTCAGAATTTCTCTCCCAGTCTTGTGCCTACTGATAAATGCGTGGGCATGTTGAGCCAGCCCAGCATGCTTGGGCCTGAGTTCAAGGCTTTGTGCTTCTCCTGATGCTGTGGGTGACATGACCTTCCTTTACAGTACAGGATTCAGATGACAGTGTCTTTTTTGTTAGCATATTCCTTTCAGTTCAGTTAATGATTTGGGAGTGGACACTTTTTTCTTATTCTCTTTCTTTTTTTGTTGTTGTTGAAGTCAATAGGCCCTTCTATACTGACTTCAAAAAGTGTCCTTATCTAAAGGGTTTCATACAATAGAGAACTAACTGCTTAACTACTTCAGTGGAAATAATACAAGGAGTTTAACAGAGAAACACTGCCTGCCTACCTCTTAAAGACAGTTATGGTTTGTCTTGAATATTTAAAAAGGCAAAGAGTTTATTTACATGTACAATCTAAGCCTATCCATGAAATAATGTACAATAGATTTGAAGCCTGTTTTTATCCTTCAACTGAAATTTTCATTTGTGCTGGGTTTTCTGGTATTAAGTCTAGATACACTCTGCTGGTTATGAGAGTGAAGTTGATTCTCCTCCCATGGTTCCATGAAGGTTCACCCTTTCCCTGCTGTTACTCAGAAATTCTCCCCAGACTGACTCTTAGTGAGCCACTTATATAGGCCTCTGAGTATCAGTATCAGATGTGGGTGTACCCTGTCTGTCGTAGGCTGGGTTCTCTAGAGAAGCAAAACCAGTAAAGCGTATAAATCTATCTCTCTCTATATATATATAGATAGATTTATATCAAGGAAATGGTTAATGCAGTTGTACAGGCTGGAACGTGGGTCAGGCTGGAGGCTTCTGATTCATGTTGCCACAGGGGCTAGTATACCCAAGGTCGGCAAGTCAGACAGCAGGGTTCTTTGACGCAGGCTGCAAAGACTGAAGACTCCCAAGATCGGCAGGCAAGATGGCAGGTAGACTGCTAGCTCAAGTCCCAAGAACCGGAGATCAGATGAACAGGAGCCAGCTACAGAATCCAGAGTGAGCAGTAGCCCACAAGCCTTGCCAGAAAGTTCACTTATAATTCGATGCAGGCCACACCCCCAAGGAAACTTCCTTTCAACTGATTGGCTACTCACAGCAGATCCCATCACGGAGGTGATCACACCATATCAAATCTCATCATGGAAGTGATCACATAATCATACAACTGCCAAACTACATCATAACTGCCAAACCCCTGAGAATCCTGGCCCAGCCAAGCTGACACACAACCTTAACAATCACACTGTCCAACCAAGTCGACCTTTCTTACATCAATCAAATTGTAACTACAAATTGTAGCTGTAGCTGCATTCTCTCAAGCCCATTCTCAGCTTTCAGCTCGAAGGGAAACCAAGCTATTTAGCCAGTCTGATTAATTAAACAGGCAGGAGCCTTTTCTTCCCGGCTAACAAAACAGGTGGCCTATTAGAACCAGTTCTAATCTTTGTGGTCTAAACTTGACCCTAATTTCTTTTTAAATGTGTAAGGATTATTTTTTAAAATATCTAGTTCAGTACATGAAGTAAGCTCTTCCACCAGTGGAAAGAGCACCAAACTGGGAGTCAGGAAACCAGAGTTCTAGTGCTTCTTCTGACACTTATTAGGTACAACCTTGAAGATGAACCTTCATCCCTCTAGAATCTTAGTTTCCCTCTGTAAATTGATGGGGTTGAACTAGACCAGTGAAACATCAAATTTTTTTCAGAATCAACCTAGCACTTTAAAGCCGTTTAAAACAAACAAACAAACAAACAAAAAATCCAATAGCTATTAAAAAAGAAAAAAACCCGAAAACAAATCCATTGCCATCAAGTTGATTCTGACTCATAGCCTTGGTGGCAGGGTGGTTAACAGCTTGGCTGCTAAACAAAAGGTCAGCAGTTCAAATCCACTAGCCACTCCTTGGAAACTCTATGGGCAGTTCGACTCTGTCCTATAGGGTCACTATGAGTCATTAACTGTAATCTACTAATAATCATTTTACACAAAATATAACATTTTTTTTTATAGTTTATTTTATTTTTGTTGCTGTTGAGAATATACACAGCAAAATATATGCTAATTCAACAGTTTCTACATGTACAATTCAGTGACATTGATTATATTCTTTGAGTTGTGCAACCATTCTCACCCTCCTTTTCTGAGTTGTTCTTCCCCCATTAACATAAACCCTCTGCCCCCTAAATTTCACATCTAATCTTTTGACTTGCTATTTTCAATTTGATCCATATAGCTAGACCTTAAAAGAGCGCAATGCTCAAGGCAGACATTCTTTACTCATTAAACTAAACTATTGTTTGGTTTTAAGGAGACTTCAGGGAATATTTTTGGTTTAAGGTATAAGTTGTAAAGATTATCTCAGGGCAATAGTTTCAGGGGTTCATCCAGCCTCCACGGCTCCAAAAAGTCTGGAGTCCATGAGAAATTTGAAATTCTGTCAAAATGGAACATTTTTAACATGAACAAATCAAAACACAATGTCAGAAAAAGGACAGTTCTTTAAATCGAATACCTTTATCTTTTTGAAAACTCCATACCTTGTCCTTATTTTTTTATTTCACTACTTTTCAGTGACTGCTTTGTCATGGCCTGGCAGCTTCTAAGACCCTTTCTGTTTCTAGTCTTATCAAAATAAACTCAGTGGCTGCTGACTTGGCCCTCCTGAATGAGCTGGCTCCTTGAGACTCTGAATTGTGGTTTCACCCATGCCTAGCACAATGTCTGGTATAGCAATAGATTAAATAAGTTAAAAGGGGAAATGATCCCTGTTGAACTACAGATGTGTATAGAAGGAGTAAACCCCAGGACTAGGGGTGAGCCCTTATACTTGCAGCTTAGCCCAAGATCTGCAGGAAGCAGTCAAGTCAGTTCTAGGCTCTAATTAATTTAGGTTTAACAGCCTAGGTCCTGCCCAAAATGTGAATCTAGGGTAGAATTCAAAAGTAAAAAATCATAGACTCATCATCATTCTGTATATGGGTGTTCCCCCACACATTCCTAAAACCAGCTTTTCTGTAATAGAGGTGGTGTGTTTATTTATTAAGAGCATGAGTTCTAAAGCCAAGTGGCTGGATTCAAATCCTGGCTTTGCCACTAGCTGAGAGTATGACCTTGGTCAAGGTGCTTCACCCGCTGTGCCTTAGGTTCCTTATTTACAAAATGTGGGTAATAACTGTACCTGCCTCATAAAGTTGTTCTGTGGATTAAAGGAGGTTGTATACTTAGAACAGTACGGTTCACATAGTTAAGTGTTCAATTATAATTTTGACTAATGAGCCTCAAGAAATCTGAGAATAGAAGAAGAAGAAAAAAAAATAGAGAATTATAATGGTCCAAAAAAAGTACTGGTATATTTGGAATTGTTAAGACTGAAAGGGGAATATTACCACAGATGATAAAATCAAGAAGGCAATTATAAACCTTATAAATCTCCTTTCTCCCAAAGGATAACAGAGACTGAATATATAAGAAGGTTCAAAATTAATTTAAATAAATTCATACAGAAATAATGCATCATAGGTTATTCAGAGAACTAGAGATGGTCTGCGGTATATCCTTCCTACTAATGAGAAGAATATGCTTAGCATTTCTCAAGCTGAAAGAACTGAAGAGAAAATTCAAGCCTTGAGTTGCAATATTGAAGGGTTCTGTGGGCAAAATGTTGAACAATGCAGGACACATCGAAAGCAGATGGAAGGAATACATAGTCACTGAACTAAAAAGAATTGGTTGATATTCAACCATTTCAGGAGGTAGCATATGATCAAGAACCGATGGTACTGAAGGAAAAAGTCCAAGCTGTTCTGAAGGCATTGGTG